GTGCGCGACACGCTAGCCGATTCCTAGTTCCCAGGCGTCAGCGTCCCGATCTTTTCTCAGCCTTCCGGCCCGCGGGGCAGAACGGCACGCTGTCAGCTTGCAGGGCACAGAGTGTCGCCAGGGCCGCCCCCGCGACACGCTACGCAGAAGTTTCCGACCGTATGCCCGAAAGCGGTTCCCCTCTCCTGTTTGCTGCTTTGGGGAGGATGGGCAGGCTCTCGGGGAGACAACTGGTGGTGGTGGTGGTGGTGGTGGTGGTGACGACGACGACACTGACGACGACGACGACGACCACGGCGACGACGACGACGACGACGACGACGAGGACGACCACGAGAGGGCTCGAGCACCTGAGCATGCTGATCCCCGAACAGAGAACCAACAACTGCATAAACACATACTTTCGAAGGGCCGCCCGGATTTATTGGATATGCGCTGGGGTCCCCTGGCAGCGCCTTCAGTGCCGTCCCTTGTGCGCTCCTCGCGCCATGGAGGGCTCCAACGCCGATCCATGACATGCGGGCGCAGCTCCGAACGTTCATGCTCATGTATTTTTCCCTACCTAGGCTCTGCCTAGAGGGTTCTTACTTTGTTTGCTTAAAGGGGCCAGGCAGTGTAAAACGCCCCGGGCGGTTCCCCCAGTCCCCGCCCCGCGGTTCCCCCAGTTGCGCCCCCTAGCTTTAGCTTTAGCTTTAGCTTTAGCTTCAGCTTCAGCTTCAGCTTTAGCTTTAGCTTTAGCTTTAGCTTTATCTTTAGCTTTAGCTTTAGCTTTAGCTTAGCTTTAGCTTAGCTTTACCTTAGCTTTAGCTTAGCTTTAGCTTGGCTTTAGCTTAGCTTTAGCTTAGATTTAGCTTAGCTTTACCTTAAATTTAGCTTAGCTTTAGCTTAGTTGTAGCTTAGCTTTAGCTTAGCTTTACCTTATCTTTAGCTTAGCTTTAGCTTCGCTTTAGCTTAGCTTTACCGTTACTACGAATGCTGCTTTCCTAGGGGCTCCAACTCCTAGGCAGGGTCGCACTGGGATAATTTCATTCAGAGGGGGAGGTAGAGGGAGGAATTTCTGCGATCAGCATTTGGGAGGTCCCATTTGAGTCCGCCGCGGGGCCCCACTATGCTGGCACCCCTAGCAGGCCTTGAAAGTGGCGAGAGTTTCACAGATCGCAGCCCCACAGGGATGGTGAGGTCCCATTTGAATCTGCGCAGCACGTCACTGTGCTGGACCTCCCAGCAGGCCTCGAAAGTGGCGACAGTTTCACAGATCGCAGCCCCCAGGGATGGCGAGGTCCCACTTGAATCTGCGTAGGACGTAACTATGGTGGACCCCCCCAGTAGCCCTCGAACGTGGCGACAGTTTCACAAATCACACCCCCCCAGGGATGGCGAGGTCCTGTTTGGATCTGCGTAGCACGTCACTGTGCTGGACCCCCCAGCAGCCCTCGAAAGTGGCGACAGTTTCACGGATCGCAGCCCCCCAGGGTTGGCGAGGTCTAGTTTGAATTTGCGTAGGACGTCACTGTGCTGGACCCCCCAGCAGGCCTCTCAAGCGGCGACAGTTTCACAGATCGCAGCCCCCCAGGGATGGCGAGGTCCCGTTTGAATTTGCATATGACGTCACTTTGCTGGACCCCCCAGGGTCTCAAACGTGGCGACAGTTTCACTGATCGCAGCCCCCCCCAGGGATTGCGAGGTCCCGTTTGAATCTGCGTATGACGTCATTGTGCTGGACCCCCCAGCAGGCCTCGAAAGTGGCGACAATTTCACAGATCACAGCCCCCCCCCCAAGGATGGCGAGGTTTATTTTGCATCTGCGTAGGACGTCATTGTGCTGGCTGCTGGACCCCCCAGCAGGCCTCGAACGCGGCGACAGTTTCACAGATCGCAGCCCCCCAGGGATGGCGAGGTCTCATTTGAATTTGCGTAGGACGTCACTGTGCTGGACCCTCCAGCAGGCCTCGAAAGTGGCGACAGTTTCACGGATCGCAGCCCCCCACGGATGGCGAGGTCCCGTTTGAATTTGCATATGACGTCACTGTGTTGGATCCCCAGCAGGCCTCGAAAGTGGCGACAGTTTCACAGATCGAAGCCCTCCAGGGGTGGCGAGGTCCCATTTGAATCTGCGTAGGACGTCACTGTGCTGGACCCCCCAGCAGGCTTTGAACGTGGCGGCAGTTTCACAGATCACAACCCCCTCTTCCCAGGGATGGCGAGGTCTAATTTGAATCTGCGTAGGGCGTCCCTGTGCTGGACCCCCCAGCAGGCCTCGAAAGTGGCGACAGTTTCACGGATCGCAGCCCCCCAGGGATGGCGAGGTCCCATTTGTTTTTTGCGTAGGACGTCACTGTGCTGGACCCCCCAGGGTCTCAAAAGTGGCGACATATTCACAGATCGCAGCCCCCCAGGGATGGCGAGGTCCCGTTTGGATCCGCGTAGGACGTCACTGTGCTTGATCCCCAGCAGGCCTCGCAAGCGGCGACACTTTCACAGATCGCAGCCCTCCCCCAAGGGATGGCGAGATCCCATTTGTTCCCAACCCTCCTTGGTTGGGTATTCGTTTTGAATAGAGCAGTGTGGTCTCCACTCCTTCCTTCCTTCCTTTCTTCCTTCCTTCCTTCCTTCCTTCCTTCCTTCCTTCCTTCCTTCCTTCCTTCCTTCCTCCTCCTCCCTCCCTGCCTCTTCCTGTCTTGCCTGCGGGGGGCTGCGATCTGTGAAACTGTCGCCATTTTCGAGGCCTGCTGGGGGGGGCAGCAAAGTGAGGGCCCCGCGCAGATTCAAATGAGACCTCGCCATCCCTGCGGGGGGGCTGCGATCTGTGAAACTGTCGCCATTTTCGAGGCCTGCTGGGGGCCCAGCACAGTGAGGGCCCCGCGCAGATTCAAATTAGACCTCGCCATCCCTGGGGGGGCTGCGATCTGCGAAACTGTCGCCATTTTCGAGGCCTGCTGGGGGGCCCAGCAAAGTGAGGGCCCCGCGCAGATTCAAATGAGACCTCGCCATCCCTGGGAAGGGCTGCGATCTGTGAAACTGTCGCCATTTTCGCTGCTGGGGGGCCCAGCAAAGTGAGGGCACCGCGCAGATTCAAATTAGACCTCGCCATCCCTGGGGGGGCTGCGATCTGCGAATATGTCGCCACTTTCGAGGCCTGCTGGGGGGCCCAGCACAGTGAGGGCGACGCGCAGATTCAAATTAGACCTCGCCATCACTGGGGGGCTGTGATCTGTGAAACTGTCGCCATTTTCGAGGCCTGCTGGGGGGCCCGGCACAGTGAGGGCGACGCGCAGATTCAAATTAGACCTCGCCATCCCTGGGGGGCTGCGATCTGTGAAACTGTCGCCATTTTCGAGGCCTGCTGGGGGGCCCAGCACAGTGAGGGCCACGCGCAGATTCAAATGAGACCTCGCCATCCCTGGGGGGCTGCGATCTGTGAAACTGTCGCCATTTCGAGGCCTGCTGGGGGGCCCAGCACAGTGACGCCACGGGCAGATTCAAATGAGACCTCGCCATCCCTGGGGGGCTGCGATCTGTGAAACTGTCGCCATTTTCGAGGCCTGCTGGGGGGCCCAGCACAGTGAGGGCCACGGGCAGATTCAAATTAGACCTCGCCATCCCTGGGGGGCTGCGATCTGTGAAACTGTCGCCACTTTTCGAGGCCTGCTGGGGGGCCCAGCACAGTGACGGCCACGGGCAGATTCAAATGAGACCTCGCCATCCCTGGGGGGCTGCGATCTGTGAAACTGTCGCCATTTTCGAGGCCTGCTGGGGGGCCCAGCACAGTGAGGGCCACGCGCGGATTCAAATTAGACCTCGCCATCTCTGGGGGGGCTGCGATCTGTGAAACTGTCGCCACTTTCGAGGCCTGCTGGGGGGCCCTGCACAGTTACGCCACGGGCAGATTCAAACGAGACCTCGCCATCCCTTGGGGGCTGCGATCTGTGAAACTGTCGCCACTTTCGAGGCCTGCTGGGGGGCCCAGCGCAGTGACGCCACGGGCAGATTCAAATGAGACCTCGCCATCCCCTGGAGGCTGCGATCTGTGAAACTGTCGCCACTTTCGAGGCCTGCTGGGGGGCCCAGCACAGTGACGCCACGCGCGGACCCAAATTAGACCTCGCCATCCCTGCGGGGCTGCGATCTGTGAAACTGTCGCCACTTTCGAGGCCTGCTGTGATCCCCGTTTTCGAAGTGGCTAGGAGTGCTCAGGAATTGTAACTCATCAGCTTTATCAAGCCCTTTTCCTGTAGCCAGTGTCCTGCGAGTCTCCCGAATTCCGTCTGCAGACATATGTAACCCTCGCTCCGTCATCGCCCCTTTATAAAGTATCCTAAACTATTTGCGCACCGCTTTTGCGCAGGGGTTGGGTACGTCGCCAGGGTATTTTTTGCGTAGGACGTAACTATGGTGGACCCCACAGCAGGCTTCGAAAGTGGCGACACTTTCACAGATCACAGCCCCCCAGGGATGGCGATGTCTCGTTTGCGTTTGCGTATGACGTCACTGTGCTGGACCCTCCAGCAGGCTTCGAAAGTGGCGACAGTTTCGCAGATCACAGCCCCCAGGGATGGCTATGTCTCGTTTGCATGTGCGTAGGACGACACTGTGCTGGACCCTCCAGCAGGCCTCGCAAGTGGCGACAGTTTCGCAGATCGCAGCCCCCCCCAGGGATGGCGAGATCCCGTTTGGATCTGCGTAGGACGTCACTGTGCTGGACCCCCCATCAGGCCTTGAAAGTGGCGACAGTTTCACAGATCGCAGCCCCACAGGGATGGCGAGGTCCCGTTTGGATCTGCGTAGGACGTCACTTTGCTGGACCCCCCAGCAGGCCTCGAAAGTGGCGACATATTCACAGATCGCAGCCCCCCAGTGATGGCGAGGTCCCGTTGGGATCCGCGTAGGACGTAACTGTGCTGGACCCCCCAGCAGCCCTCGAAAGTGGCGACAGTTTCGCAGATCACAGCCCCCCAGGGGGGTGGCGAGGTCTAATTTGAATCTGCGTATGACGTCACTGTGCTGGACCCCCCAGCAGGCCTCGAACGTGGCGACGGTTTCACAGATCGCAGCCCTCCAGGGATGGCGAGGTCCCATTTGAATCTCCGTATGACGTCACTGTGCTGGACCCCCCAGGGTCTCAAAAGTGGCGACAGTTTCACAGATCGCAGCCCCCCCAGGGATGGCGAGGTCCCATTTGAATCTGTGTATGACGTCACTGTGCTGGGCCCCCCAGCAGCCTTCGAAACTGGCGACAGTTTCACGGATCGCAGCCCCCCCCGAGCCAAGTCAGGAAGAGGCAGGAGGGAGGCGGGAAGGAGGAAGAACGATGCAACATGCATCATTCAAAACTAATACCCAACCAAGAAAGATCGGAAAATATCGCGTAGCACCCCGCAATTGCGGGTCAGAGTGAGGGGGCGGGCGCGGGCGACGCGGGCGCGGGAGTGGAAGGAATTCAAATACAGCCCGCCGCAGGCGCCGACCATTTTGATTTGTACACTGAACGCGGTTTGGGTCGCAGGTTGTCCACCTGGAACGAATGCAACAGAAACCCGCCGCAGGCGCCGAAGTTTTGGCTTGTTCAGTGAACGTAGTTTGGGTCGCGGGTGGGTCGCGGGCCCTCCACCTCCACCTGGAAGGAATTCAAAAACGGCCCGCCGCAGGCGCCGAAAATTTTGATTAGTACACTGAACGCGGTTTGGGTCGCGGGTGGGTCGCAGGTTCTCCACCTGGAACCAATGCAACAGAAGCCCGCCGCAGGCGCCGAACATTTTGTGTGTGGGTCGCGGGGTGGGTCGCGGGTGGGTCGCGGGTGGGTCGCGGTGGGTCGCGGGTGGGTCGCGGGCGCGGTTTGGGTCGCGGGTGTGTCGCAGGCTCTCCACCTGGAACGAATGCAAAAGAAACCCGCCGCAACGCCGAAAATTTTGGGTGGGTCGCGGGGTGGGTCGCGGGTGGGTCGCGGGCTGGGTCGCGGGTGGGTCGCGGGTGGGTCGCGGAGTGGGTCGCGGGTGGGTCGCGGGGCGGGTCGCGGGTGGGACGACGACAACAACAAACAACAAACAACAAATAACAAGCAACAAACAACAAACAATAAGCAACAAACAACAAACAACACCAACAGCAACAACCACAATAACAACAACAATAATCCGCATCGCGGAATTCCGCTTCAGCCGCGCACCCAGGGACAGTGAATGAGCGTTCGGTTCAGCCCCCTCACTCTGAGCAGTATCAGTAATAATAATGATAAATATCCGAAACATAGTAACAACAATACTAACAACATTACTCTTAATATGAATAAGACGATTCATGTGAATAGTAGTATGAATCAGAAGAAGACTAAGAAGACTACGACTAAGAACAATAATACATTTCACAATACGAAGAAGGAGAGGAGGACGAGGAGGAGGAGGAGGAGTAGGAGGAGGAGGAGGAGGAGGAGGAGGAGGAGGAGGAGGAGGAGGAGGAGGAGGAGGAGTCGGGCGGGACAGGCTCGAACGCCTGAGCGGGTCCCCTGGTGGTTTTCGGTCATAGCTCCGGCCTCCAGCGGCCGTTCGGAACGTTCCCGGACCCTTCCGAACACTCTCGGCAGCCTCAAGGCGGCATCCCGAGGCTGCGAACGAGATCCGACGAAAACGGCCGAAAACCTCGAGCCTCGAGCCTCGAACCTCGAAGCTCTGGCCCGACCAGGAGGCAGACGCCAGAGGAGCTGGGGTTCACCGTCGGCGACGAGCCGTCGGGCAGCAGCGCGGAGGCTCCCAGCCGCTGGCCGACGAGCTTCGGCCACGACAGCTGCCTGGACCTGGGCGCCAAGGCGCGCCCGCGGGCAGTCGGGAATGCTTCCGTGGCCCCCAGACGGCGCGGTGACGAGACCGTTTTCGTGTGCGCTCGCTCGTTTTCAAGGGTTCCTGGCGGGTGTCTCGCCTAGGGATGCGTCCCAGCAGCTGCGCCTCGCCGCGAGCGTCCCAGGGGTTGCCCGGACCGTCCCGAACGGCCGCCGGAGGCCAGAGATGTGGCGCGAAAGAACCACGGGGAGTCGGGGACCTCGTGCGGTGACGGACCAGGCGGTGAGGTCTCTGGGGGGTTCGAGGTCACCGCACGGTTCTGGGACCCCTAGTGGGGGTGCCTCGTGGCCCCGCGAGGGAGACGAGCATGGCAGTAGTAAAGGTGGCTCTTGGCATGCGTGCCTCGAAGAAGAGCAATCGGCATAAACATGCACTTTCGGTGCTCCGCGCGGAGTTCTTGGACCTGGCGCTGGGCCCCCATTGCCCCTGGCTCGCTCCGCGCGCTGGGGAGGGGGTCCAGCGCCGATCCGAGAACTTCCCGCGGATCCTCGAACGCTTGATTCAGCTTTGCTCTTCCTCTGGAGGCCTCCTGGATGGGGTCCAAGTAGGTTGGGGCGGAGGATCGCGCCGCTTTGCCGATGCATCGGCAATGCATCGGCGATACCTCGGCGACGTCGGCAATGCATCGGCGATGTCGGCATAAAGAACATCGGGCTTTACATCGCGCCGCATCGTCGATGCATCGGCGATGCGGCGCGACCCTCCGACCCAGTCTACTCTGACCCACTCTGGGAGGCCTAGACCCTCTGGAATGAGGCCCCCCCTCCTCCTCCTTCTCCTCCTCCTCCTAATCCCTCTCCTCCTCCTCCTCCCTCCTCCTTTTTCCTCCTCCTCCCCCCCCTCCTCCTCTTCCTCCTCCTCCCTCCTCCTCTTGTTCCTCCTCCTCCCTCCTCCTCGTCCTCCTCTTCCTCCTCCTCCCTCCTCCTCTTCTTCCTCCTCCTCCTCCCTCGTCCTCCTCCTCTTCCTCCTCGTCCTCGACCTCCTCCTCCTCCTCCTCCTCCTCCTCCTCCTCCTTGTCGTCCTCCTCCTTCTCCTTCTCCTCCTTCTCCTCCTCCTCCTCCTCCTCCTCCTCCTCGTCCTCCTCCTCCTCCTCCTCCTCCTCCTCCTCCGTCTCCCCCTCTTCCTCCTCGAACGCCTCATTCGGCCCTGTGGAGGGCGCCGAGCATCGCAGCAGTCGAGGGGGGCTCCCTGGCCTCTCTCTGGCCCTCGCGGGCGAGGTGCGCGCGCGAGGGCGGAGGCCCAGAGGTGGACACCAGCACCAATATCGTTGGAGGAGGAGGAGGAAGGAGGAGGAGGAGGAGGAGGAAGAGGAGGAGGTGGACACCAGCACCAATATCGTTGGAGGAGGAGGAGGATTACCAAGCGCGCTATAGGGTACCTAAACCCATCTTCAAGGCTGAGGCGGCCATCAACAAAGTACAGCAGACGGTGCGACTGTGGTGGGTACATAATCCAGTGGTGGTTGGCCGACCGCGCGCCACATCCTCAGAGTCGGAGGTACTGCAGAAAGTGATCGGCCACTTGCTGACGCCAGGGGGGGTCCGTGTACCCGTTTTTCTTGCAGGCGGCTGTGAAGGGCGTGTTCCATTCCACTCATAGTTTTCGGCCGTTCGGCCATACCTGCGGATAGGATGCCGAATCCTTCGACGGGAATTTGGGAAATCCCCCCGCTCTGGTTGAGCTGCTTGGGGCTTCACTGTCGAGGGATGCCCCCTCGGGCGCGGCACCGAACTTTGTAACATGTTCGTTGCGTCGCACAGTTGGGCGCGATCTGGTCCATCGCCCCGTTGAGAGGCCGACCTCGGATTTTGGCCCTGCCGGCCCATAGGCTGTGGGAGCGCGTCTGCCCATCTGCTACCCAACGGCAGTGGGAGTAAGAAAGCCTCTGCACACGCAGATCTTACCAGTTTGAAGCATATCCCTATTCTTATGTTTGACATCACCTCACCTCGATGCCGATCTTAAGGATTCCCTCAGTTTCTGAGGGCCTATCCCTAAGATTGTCCTCGCTTTTTGCTCGCCCATCTTAGGGATAGGGATACGTTCGAGGCTGGCTAAAATCGGCCAGCCGCAGCTCGAATGCCAAACCCATCGCCTCGTTGAGAGGCATGCCTCGGATGCTCCTGCCTCTGCCGGCGGTTGCCCTCCCTCACCCTCAGCCCTCCCAGCGCCATAGGAGGAGGAGGAGGAGGAGGAGGAGGAGGAGGGGGAGGAGGAGGAGGAGGAGGAGAAGGAGGAGGTGGAGGAGGAGGGGGAGGAAGATGAGGAGGAGCTCGGGGGGGAGCTCAAGACCAGGGGTAGGAGGACCAAAGGGAAGGGGTCCTTTTTGACACCAACACTACGATGATCCCGATCTTGGTGATGGTGGTACTATTGGGGCTGCTAGGTGGCCGAAAAGATTATCACCAACACCAAAATCTCGGATCGTCTTCCCCCTCCAGCGAGGGCGATCATCAAAGCCCTCGGGGTCATTCGGAGCTGTTCGTTCCTCGCCATGTATCTGAGCTCCTGGCATCGGCTTGATACCCCCGCCCGAGCCCCCCGTTGCCAGACAATGCAAGGGAGCCCCCCCGGAATCGCATGGACCGATGTGGGTACATCTTTGGAGATGGGGAGAAGTCTCTGCATTCTTCGGGGTGAACCTGCGTGTCAGGGGCGGTTTCCTTTCGTTCCCAACCATCCTGTGGTGTTGGGTCCTCGTTTTGAAGAGACGGTCCCCGCGTTCCTCTCCTCTCCTCTCCTCTCCTCCTCCTCCTCCTCCTCCTCCTCCCCCTCCTCCCCTCTCTCCTCCTTCTTCCATGCGTTCCACCCACCCAGCACAGCGTTTCGTGGCCCCATAGGGAGCTCCACCGAAGCCCCCAGTGGGACCGCCGTCATGCGTCCCCCACACCCAATTTGGCATTTCCACCCACCCAGTACAGCGTTTCGTGGCCCCATAAGGAGCTCCACCGAAGCCCTCAGTGGGACCGCCCTCATGCGTCTCCCCCGCCCAATTTGGCATTTTCACCCACTCACTTCAGCGCTTCGTGATCCCATAGGGAGCTCCACCGACGCCCCCAGTGGTACCGCCCACATGCGCCCCCCACATCCAATTTGGCATTTCCACCCACCCAGTATAGCATTTCGAGGCCCAATAGGGAGCCCCACCGAAGCCCCCAGTGGGACCCGCCGCATGCGTCCCCACACCGAATTTGGCATTTCCACCCACCCTTCGCAACGCTTCGCGGCCCCATGGGGAGCTCCACCGAACCCCCCAATGGGACCGCCCGCATGCGTCCCACACGCCTAATTTGGCATTTTCAACCACCCAGTACAGCGTTTTGTAGCCCCATAGGGAGTTCCACCGAAGCCCCCAGTGGGACCGCCCGCATGCGTCCCCCACGCCCAATTTGGCATTTTCACCCGCCCACTTCAGCGCTTCGTGACTCCATGGGGAGCTCCACCGAAGCCCCCAGTGGTACCGCCCACATGCGCCCCCCACATCCAATTTGGCATTTCACCCACCCACTTCAGCGTCTCGTGGCCCAATAGGGAGCCCCACCGAAGCCCCTTGGCATTGTCACCCACCCAGCACAGCGCTTCGTGGCCCCATATCGAGCTCCACCAAAGCCCCCAGTGGGACCGACCGCATGCGTCCCCCACGCCCAATTTGGCATTTCCACCCACCCAGTACAGCGTTTCGTGGCCTTGGGAGCTCCACCGAAGCCCTCAGTGGGACCGCCCTCATGCGTCTCCCCCGCCCAATTTGGCATTTTCACCCACTCACTTCAGCGCATCGTGATCCCATAGGGAGCTCCACCGACGCCCCCAGTGGTACCGCCCACATGCGTCCCCCACATCCAATTTGGCATTTCCGCCCACCTAGTGCAGCGTTTCGGCCACATAGGGAGCCCCACCGAAGCCCCCAGTGGGACCGTCCGCATGCGTCCCCCGCACCCGATTTGGCATTGTCACCCACCCAGTACAGCGCTCCGTGGCCTCATAGGGAGCCCCACCAAAGCCCCCAATGGGACCGCCCGCATGCGTCCACCATGCCCAAGCTGGCATTTTCACCCGCCCACTGCAGCGCTTCGTGGCCTCATAGGGAGCTCCGCTGAAGCCCCCCCGCGTGCGTCCCCCACAGGGAGCTCCACCGAAGCCTCCAGTGGGACCGCCCGCATGCGTCCCCCACACCCAACTTGACATTTTCACCGGCCCAGTACAGCGCTTCGTGGCCCCATAGGGAGCCCCACCGAAGCCCCCAGTGGCGCCGCCCGCATGCGTCCCCCACACCGAATTTGGCATTTCCACCCACCCTTTGCAACGCTTCGCGGCCCCATGGGGAGTTCCACCGAAGCGCCCAATGGAACCGCCCGCATGCGTCCCACACGCCTAATTGGGTATTTTCACCGATCCAGTGCAGCGTTTTGTGGCTTCATAGGGAGCTTCACCGACGGCCCCAGTGCTACCGCCCGCATGCGTTCCCCCCCCGCCCAGCGCAGCGCTTCGTGGCACCATAGGGAGCTTCACCGAAGAAGATATTCACAATTGCGGTACCCACAACCTCATATGGTTGGGTCCTTCGCCAGGATAATGTTTGAGGGCCTCCCTGCGGTTTCATGTTTTTTTTTGTTGCCTGCCGTGGGATACTTTCCGCACTCCTAGCCGTGTCCTGACGAGTTCCGCAATGGAATGACCAAGTAGGTGCCGAATGTTTTTTTCGTAGTAGGAGTAACTTGGCTGCGAATGCATGGACTCATCGGTCTTGCCATCTCAGTTGTGATAGTCGTCGTCTTCATTACATCGTGGCGACCGTGCACATCGTATGCCATCACTGGTGAACCGCAGGACAGAAGTGTCGTTGTCGCAGGTCTGGGTTGGTCTCGGCTCGACATCTTGGTCTGGATGGTGCCCAGGAGGGGCTGGGGATCGGCGCTTCTTTCCAGTAAGACAAGCATGTTCTGAGAGGGTCTATATATGTATATTTCTAGACAGAGAGAGAGAGAGAGAGACAAAAAATGATATATATATATATATATAGAGAGAGAGAGAGAGAGAGAGAGAGAGAGAGAGAGAGAGAGAGAGAACGCGCCTGCCTGTTCGACAGCTTATTGCCCCCCCCCCCCCCCCCCCTCTGGCACCCCTCAAGGTGGCCGAACGACCGCTTGGGCCCCCCGACATCGCTCAATGTGGCCAAACGGCCGCGGGGTGGACGGGTTTCGTCTCTCCCCTTCTCTGAGAGGATCAAGAGGTCATGATAATGATGCATTGGACGGCCCCTCAGGCTTCGAGGACTTCGAACATGTGCTAAGTTCCGCACGATCTGAATATTTCTCAATCTTCCACGTGGGCTGTAAAAAACGAGGGCCGCTAGATACATTGTGGAAATTTTTGGAACGCATCCTGAGCCAATCTTATAGTGGCAGTATTCTTGCCCTGTTCTACTCCCTTCTCCTGTCTCCGACCGCTCGCCGAGGGCTTTCCCTTGCCGGTGTTCGACATGCTGCGCGACGCCAACTGGGACCCGCAGCGGCGCCCCGAGCGCTCGCCCAGAGGGGGAGGTCGGGCGGAATCGCTTTCGGAGACCGATACATCTTGGGTGGGGATACGGTCGGAACTGTGCATTGGGGGGAGGATGAGGGGGAGGATGAGAAGGAGGAGGAGGAGGAGGAGGAGGAGGAGGAGGAGGAAGAAACGGAGGGGCCGTTGGGCGGTCGGGGCTCGAACGCCTGAACGAGTCCCCTCGTGGTTTTCGGGTCACACGGTCGGGGACTTTGGGATAGTGCGTCGCTCCGGCGGTTCTGGCCCACCACGCTTCGGCGCGACACGCTATCAACTGTCCAGTCCCCAGGCGCCAACGTCCCGAGCCCTTTTCGAGCCTCCCGCCCCCCAGAGCGGAGCGACACGCCATCCGCTTGCAGGGCATAGCGTGTCGCTGGGGCCGCCGTGGCGACTTGCTTTGCAAACGCTCCCGACCGTAAACTCATGCGAGCGGGTTCTGTTTTTTACTGCGGTGCATGGTTGAGAGATTCCCAGTCGTTGTCCTGGTCTCATGAATGTGTGTTCATGGTTAAGTGGGTTCACGCCTGGACCACAACATCGTGCTGGGCTCGGCAGCCACTTCAGCAACTGAGGTTGGCCTAGGTTCCTCAGCCCAGTATGCTCACTTGGTCGAAACTCTGGCCGCATCTTCCGGCAAGGAACAATAATGCAGCGGAGTGCGGAAACGGTCGGACAGTGTCGTTGTACGTGTGTATAGCACTGCGATGAGCCACGCCATCGCCGATCGCCGATTTGAAGGTGTCTCGCCAGAGCCCTAGGGGCCTTCAAGTCCTGGGCAGTTGCGTACTCATGCTGGTGAGTGATTGTGGTCAAGAAAGTCAGAAGGTCGCGGCCGCTTCGGCCTTACCTGACCTGATGGTGCCACGGGGAAGAGGGGCTGGATTCCTGTGACATGTACAGCATCGTCGCCTGCCTTCGCGCGACATTCCCCAACAAGTCAAATTGCTTGCGGAGCAGCGCATCGCCAGGGAAGCACTCTAGGCGCGCCCAGCTTATAATTCATCCAAGGGGCGGGTAGGTTGCTTGATATGGCAAGCTGTATGTAGCAACGCGCCATGCAGCCGGACCGATGTAGGAGATCGAGGTTGTTTCAGGGAGGGTACCCTCGAATGCTCTTCATATTGGCGGGCGGAGGGTCTCATGTTCCTGAAGGATGTTTTTCGGTCCACGGTCCGCTTGTGCAGTGGGCACACCGAATATGAAGCCGGCCTTCTCGCGGGTGACGGGCGATTGTTTCTCATCGCCCGATAGGCCCGCGGAGCCCCGGGGAGCCCTATGGAGCTCAGAGCATCGACAAAGGATGTGCGCCCATATATCCTGTAGCAAGATTCGTTTCCCCAAACAGTGCTTGCACTGAAAGGTTTGCCTTTCTTCAAAGGAACTGGGCCCATCTGTCGGGTCCGCTGCCTTGTTGCCGCCGTCGCCGCCCCACCGCCGCCTCGTCGCCGCCCGTCGACTGGGCTCGCCTGTCGGGTCCACCGCCTCGCTGCCGCAGTCGCCGCCCCTTCGCCGCCTCGTCGCCGCAACAAGGACTGCACCACATAGATTGCACCACATAGATTGCACCACATAGATTGCACATCATATATTCTCCTGTCTAAAGGAGGGTTAGGAGCTCCCCCGCCCCAGGAAATGACACTCCCCTTTCCGTAGTGCAATTTACACATGATCCTGGCCCATCGTCCATCTTGAAAATAGGTTCACTCCACCCCGGGCAGGCTGGCATCGCCCCCCATCCTGTGCAAGAGATACTATGCGCGCGCACTCGTTTGTAAACAACCAGCAGTTTCCAAGACACCCTTGCAACAACTGGGACGAAGTGCGCACGCGCGCGTCGCGCGCGCATGCAAACATCTCTCAAAAGCCTGAAGTTTCGCAGGGGTTTCAAAGTTGAGCGTCCCGAAAACATCTATACGCATGGTTTCGCAACGCGAATTTTCAAACAAAGCTTCCGCCCGCGCTCTAGCGAATACTTTAGTAGAAAACCATAGGTTGCCCATACTTTTCGTAACATGCTACCAAGCGGGCCTCTCGCGAACGCATGTCGAAATCATTAGAACGCCCCTGAACGCGTGCTGTCTTCAAACGATCTTAGGTTTTAGTCCGGATTTCAAGGTCGAGTGCGCCGAGAACATAGCAACGCACATGGTTTTGCAACGCTAGTATATAACACAAAAGCTTGCGCTCGTGTTTTATTCACGAACTCTTAAGAAAACCATCGGTTTGTCAAAATGTCATTAACTTCTTCCACACGGGCCTCGCGTCGCGCCGCATGTCGAAATCATTCGAACGCCCCTTGCCCGCGTGCTTGGGGGGGTACAGTCCGTGTCAAATAGTACCATGCGGGCCACTCTCGCGCGTCGGCCGCGCGCGCATGTCTAACTCCTTAAAAAGCCTTCATCACCGACACGAGCACGCCGGGGGCGTCGTCGGCGTGATCAGCATCGGCGACGTCGTTGGCCTTGCCGTCGGCGTTGTGATCATCGTCGCCTGCATCGCTAGTACCATCCTCGTGTCTACCGTTGTCGACGTGGCCATGATACCGCGCCCGCCCCAGTCTCCGACTCGTGCTGAACTGCCCGCTGGGAAGTGCCCAGCGGTCAGCGCCACCGCGGCACCGTCGGTCGCGCCAAACTGGCTGGCCGTTGCGCGCGCGAGCATGCGCGGGTTAGCGTGGCCGCAAAGATGCACCAGGCAACACCAAGCACTCGTCGCAATCGCCGCCGCATGAGTTTATGCAAACCAATTTGCGGGTGTGTGGGTCGGGATGATTGCGCGAGCAGAGGAGTTGACGACTCATTGCGAACAAAAGTTAATCGCACACCAGAGATGGCACAGCATATTTTGCTCCACGTGGCTCCACATCAATTGCGAAACATATATATATATATATATATATATATATATATATTCATACTACGCTAAACATTTTGCGCCACACATGTTGCACCACATTGATTGCGCTGTACAGGTTGCACCATGTAAATCGCTCAACATAGATGGTACCAAGTATATTTCACACAACATAGATTGCACCCCAAATCCAAAACATAGATTGCACAACACAGATTGCACAGCATATGTTGCCCCAGTTACTTTGTCAGAAGCACAGTATTTGGGGTTTCCGCTGGCTGATTTACTTTGGCATGCGCACGCAGTATTACGGCGCAGCGTATTTGTTGGTATTGCGTCAGGGCCGAATGTGTCCTGACCTTTCTTAAGCCTTCTCACACTCAGACCGCGCAGAGTCCGATCTGCGCGACGTCTCCGTTCCTATCTGTTCGCCGGTGCCGCTGACACTTCGAAGGGCACTCGTTGAGAATGCGCCAAATTCGTTTCAATACACCTTGGCTGCACAGTCTTTGTGCAGGTCTCAGCTGGCTGCGCCGCCATCGGCAGAGGAAGCACGAGGCCAGCGTACGTGGGGCCGTGGATGTGCATTCTCATATCTAACTTCTGCGTAGCATGTCTTCTTGCATCGCGAAGCAGAGCCTACATTACATTTTGCAGACTTCGGAGAAAATCCGCCGAGCGTGCTCGAACCCGCGCCCTCGATCTGTGGGGCGTGCTGACTTTCCAGGTACTTCGACGGGCTCCAGGCAAAGGGCTACGCAGAGGATGCGCTGCAGCTTGTGGGCCCCGAGCGCGCCATCATGAAGTCAGACTGCATGAGGCCGCGCGCTGCGTCCAGGACATCGAAGGGCGCCAACTACAGTATGCACATCAAAAGAGACGCCCAAGAAAAGGCTTTCGCCTTCGAGGGTCCAAGAATTTGACATCTCGTCCTCGGCGGAAGCCGGTGGAAGTAAAACGAGGCCGCCTCCGCCGGCGGGAGCGGGCGGAAGGCCGGCGCAAATGAAAGTCGGACCGCCTAGAGATTTTTGATATGAGCTAGAAAGTTTAAGGTTTGATGTGTCGGCCAAGCGAGAAGTCGCACTGCCACCCTGTGTCCCTTGGGCATTTCTTCTCCCTCGATGGCCCCAGGGACCTGCGGAAGCTCCAGCGCACCATGGGACCACAGAAGTGCGACGAAGAGAGTGCCCCCAGGATCTGATCTTGTACCGGTGAAAAGTTCTGTGCCCAGTCATTTTATCTCGGGGGTGGACAACCCCGCCCTGACACGTCGATTGGTGAATTGTCCGTTTTCGGTTATCGAGAGGGCGTCGCGGCCGTCGTTTTCCAGGCTCGCGCCCGCCAGGTTTGGGCCCGAGGTCGTGTTCACGAAACCACGTTTTGCTAAAGGGGTCTCTGTCCATCTCTGAGGGGTGTCCTCCTGCTCCTCCTCCTCCTCCTGCTCCTGCTCCTGCTCCGCCTCCTCCTCCTCCTCCTCCTTCTCACCCTCCTCCTCCTTCTCCTCCTCATCTGGCCTCCGATCTTCTTTCCAGTGAACCATTTGCAGGTGGTCGACTGCGTAGGAGCCGACGCCGACCCCCCCGCGAGGCCAGGCCCGGGCCTCCCCCCGGGGGCTCGGTGCGGGTGCGGGGCACCTTTCCACAAGCGCGGAGAAGCCCTGTGGCAGAGGGGAGGGAGAAGAGGGGGGGGCGAAACAAGTCGGAGCAGCCCAGCTCAGAGGATCAAGCACATCTTCGTCGGGGACTCCCAGATGATGACGCTGCGCAACGCGCTGCACAGGCTGAACAAGTGCCCGGAGATCTTCTACAGCAACAGGACCCGGCCAGGTGTGTGGTTTCCTGGGGGCGCAGGGAGTGGGATGAGGAGGGGCGAGAGAGAAAGAGGAGAAGGAGGAGGAGGAGGAGGAGGAGAGGGGAGGGAGGAGGAAAAGGAGGTGGAGGAGGAGGAGAAGGAGAAGGAGGAGGTTGAGGAGGAGGAGGAGGAGGAGGAGGGCGAAGGAGGAGGAGGAGGAGGAGGGCGGAGGAGGAGGAGAAGGGGGAGGGGAAGGAGGAGGAGGAGGAGGAGGAGGAGGTAGAAGAGGAAGAGGAAGAGGAAGAGGATGATGATGCTGATGATGACGATGATGCTGCTGCTGATGATGATGCATATGATGATGCTGATTCTGCTGCTGCTGCTGCTGCTGATGATGATGATGATGATGATGATGAGGATGCTGACGATGCTGAGGATGCTGATGATGATTTTGATGATGCTGAAGATGCTGATGATGCTCATGATGACGATGCTGATGCTGATGATGAGGTGATGTTTATGCTGCTGCTGATGATGATGCTGATGATGATGCCGATGCTGCTGGTGCTGATGATACTGCTGCTGATGCTGCTGATGATTATGTTAACGATGATGATGATGATGATGATGATGATGATGATGATGATGATGATGATGATGATGATGATGATGATGATGATGATGATGGTGATGCTGCTGATGCTCATGATGATTATGATGATGATGACGATTATGATGTTGCTACTACTGATGATGATAATGATGATGCTGGTGCTGCTGATCATGATGACGATGATGATGCTGTTGATAATAATGCTGATGGTGATCTTGATGCTGCTGTTGATGCTGATGCTGCTGATGCTGACGATGCTGATGCTGATGATGATGCTAATGATGATGATGATGATGATGATGATGATGATGATGATGAGGATGATGATGACGATGATGATGATGATGGGGTGGTGATGATGATGATGATGATGATGATGATGATGGTGCTGTTTTGCTGGTGATGATGAGGCTGCTGATGATGAGAAGGATGATGGCAATGATGACGATAATGATGACGACAAAGATACTGATGATGCTGATGATGATGCTGATGCTGATGATGCTGTTAATGCTGATGCTGATACTGATGATGGTTCTGCTTCTGATGCTGCTGCTGCTGATGATGATGATGATGATGATGCTGGTCATGATGATGCTGACGATGACGGTGATGATGATGCTGATGCTGCTCATGACGATGATGCTGCTGATGAAGACGATGACGATGCTGATGCTGATGCTGATGCTAATGATGATGATGATGACGATGATGATGATGATGACGATGATGATGATGATGATGTTTGTGCTGATGCTGATGCTGATTATGATGATTCTGATGATGGCGCTGCTGATGCTGTCGGTGTCGATGATGCTGCTGATGGTGAGAATGATGATGACAATGAGGATGATCATGATGCTGCTCATGATGATGATGCTACTGGTAATGATGATGATGATGATGATGATGATGATGATGATGATGATGATGATGATGATGATGATGATGGGGATGCTACTGATGATGTTGAAGATGATGCTGCTGATGATGATGCTGATGATACTGATGATGATGATGATGATGATGATGATGATGATGTTGATGATGATGAGGATGATTGTGCTGCTGATCATGCTGATGATGCTGATGCTGCTGACGATGATGCTGATGATGCTGCTGCTGCTGATGATGACAATGCTGATGTTGATGCTGGTGCTAATGATGATGATGATGATGGTACTGCTGCTGCTGGTGATGATCAGGCTGCTGATGATGATACTGATGATGACGGTGACGATGATGACGATACAGATAATGATGATGATGCTGCTGATGATGATGACGATGGTGAGGTTGATGATGATTATGCTGATGTTGAGGCTGATGATTATGATGGTCATGATGCCGATGATGGTGCTGCTGCCGATGATTATGCTGATGCTGATGATGATGTTGGTCATGTTGATGCTGATGTTGATGATGATGATGATGCTGATGCTGCTGATGATGATGATGCTGCTGATGATGATTGTGGCGATGCTGATGATGATGCTGATGCGAATGATGACGATAGTGATACTGATGCTGCCGCTGCTGATGATGATGATGATGCCAATGCTGCTGCTGCTGCTGCTGATGATGATGATGATGATGACGGTATGATTGTGGTGATGCTGGTGATGAGTATAATGTTGATGACGATGCTGATGCTGATGCTGCTGATGATGATGATGATTTTGATTGATGATTGATGATTGATGATGATGATGACGATGATGATGATGATGATGATGATGATGATGCTGCTGCTGCTGCTGACGATGATGATGATGATGATGATGATGATGATGATGATGATGATGATGATGATGATGATGATGATGATGATGATGATGATGATGAGGATGATGCTGATGCTGCTGATGATGATGATGATGATTCTGATTATGATAATGCTGATGACGGTGATTATGCTGCTGATCATGATTATGATGATGGTGATGAGGTGGAGGAGCAGGAGGAGGAGGAGGAACGGGAGGAGGAGGAGGAGGAGGAGGAGGGAGGAGGAGGAGGTGAGGATGAGGAGATGGGCGTAAGGGAGGAGAGGAGGAGGAGGCGGAGGAGGAGGAGGAGGAGGAGGAGGTGGCCCGGATCTGTCCCTGGCCCACGTCCCCTCCCCACTGGACGCTGCCTCTGCTCAACCCGTCCCGACGCCCGTTCCCACGGCGGGCCAGGTGGGGCTCTGGGTCACTTCCGCCGTCGTGGCGCGGACATCCAAGAAGCCTCTGGCCTTCCTGCTCGCCGCTCTCCTCCCTCCCCTCCTCTTCCTCATACCGCCTACTCTCCCTCCTCCTCTTCGCAACCCTCCCTCCTCCTCCTCCTGCCCATCCTCCTCTTCCTCTCTCCTCCTCCTCCTCCTCCTCCCTCCTCCTCCTCCTCCTCCTCTCCTCCTCCTCCTCACTCCTCCTCCTCCCCCTCCTCCTCCTCCTCCCTCCTCCTCCTCCTCCTCCCCGCCCTCCGCCTCCTCCTCCTCCTCCCTCCTCCTCCTCCTCCTCCTCCTCCTCCTCCTCCTCCCTCCTCCTCCCTCCTCCTCCTCCTCCTCCTCCTCCTCCTCCTCCTCCTCCTCCTCCTCCTCCTCCTCCTCCTCCTCCTCCTCCTCCTCCTCCTCCTCCTCCCCTCCTCCTCCTCCTCCTCCTCCTCCTCCTCCCCCCCCTCCTCTTCCTCCTCCTCATCCTCCTCCTCTTCCTCCTCCTCTTCCTCCTCCTTCTCCTCTTCCTCCTTCTCCTTCTCCTTCCCCCCGATGTTCCCTCCATCCTCTCACGTTTTCGTAGAGCGTCGGCGGTTTTCCAGCCGCGGGGTGCTATCCAGCAGCCGCGCCTCGCCGAGAGGCGTCCAGGGGTGCCCGGATCGCTCCGAACGGCCGCCCGAATCCCGAGCCATGACCCGAAGACCAAGCGACGTCGAGGCCCTGCCCCGACCCCGTCCTTTCGCGGAGCCCTCGAGCCCTCGAGCCCCGCCCCTCCCCTCGTGGCGCCTCGAAGTGCAGTGGTACCTTGGGGGGGGCACATGTGGGGAGGAGGGAGGAGGAGGGAGGGGGGACGGAGGGAGGGTGGAACGGAGTGAGTGAGGGAGGGAGGGAGGGAGGAAGGGAGGAGGAGGAGGATGAGGATGAGCATGAGGGTGAGGGTGAGGGTGAGGATGAGGATGAGGATGAGGATGAGGATGAACATCAGGATGAGGATGGGGATGATGATGATGGTGGTGATGATGCTGATGATGCGGATGATGATACTGATGATGTTGATGATCATGCTGATGATGATAATGATGATGATGCTGCTGACGCTGATGATGATGACCATGACGATGACGATGGTGATGATGCTGGTGCTGATGATGCGGATTATGATGCTGCTGATGATGCTGATGTTGATGATGATGCTGCTGATGATGATGCTGACGATTACTATCATGATGGTGGTGCTGATGATTTGGCTGCTGCTGATGATGATGTGTCTGATGGTAATGGTGATGGTTGTGATGGTGGTAATGGTGTGATGATAGTGATGGTGATGAGGATGACGATGCTGCTGATGCTGCTGATGGTGATGATGATGGTTGTGATGCTGCCGATGACGATGTTGTTGTGTTGGTTGATGATAATGGTGATGACGATGATGTTATGATGATGAGGTTGATGATGGGGATGCTGATGATGCTGATGATGGCGACGATGCTGATGCGTATATTGATTGTGGTGGTGGTGATGATGGTGATGCTGATGCTGTTGATGATGCTGATGATGATGACGATGATGATGAGGCTGAGGATGATCATGAGGAGGAGGAGAAGGAGGAGGAGGATTCGAAGGAGGATGAGGAGGGAGGATGATGAGGAGGAGGAGATCTGTAGCCATGTTGGCTCAAGCCGTTGCCCGACTCGGGCGCCCGTGACCACTTGCAGGAACACCGGCAACATCGGAGCCATCGGCGTCAATGACAACAAATGCTACGAGAGCGTCTCGGGCCCGCTCGGTCGGGCCTAGGCCACTGCGTGCCGCGGCATGCAGAACAGGCTGTTCAATCGGAGAAGGTTGGAAGGTCAGACCCGACGACCTGTCCCGCCCCATCGTGGCAGTCATGGATACCTATGGCCGCGAGCCGTACCAGCCAGTCCCCGATGAGCAGTTCAGCAACCCGACGCACGCCAGCAATCACAGGCACATCGTCATGGAGGTCCCCGCCACCACGGCCGGCCCAGGGCCATGCTGGTCCGCCAACGCCGGCGCCGACCACGGCAACGACGAGGCCCTTCTGCTGCCGCCCTTCATCCCGGCGTGCGGCTACGACGCCCACCACGCCACGACCCCCCACGACCCTTCTGCCCGACGACCCCCACGACGGCCCCCACGACGCGGTGCCCTGCCCGACGGGCCCCGCGGAACCCCCTTCAACGACCCCCACGACGGCCGC